ATTGATCACTTAGAGACTCTTGAGTGGGAGAGTCCCATAGATGCATAGATATATAGAAAGCAGGTTGAGACAAACCGGGTATTTGAGTTTCTGGCAGGCCTAAATTCAGAGTATGATATTGTVYGRCAACAGATTTTGACTAGAGACAGTGTGACTCTCTCTCAGGCATACTCATTTGTACACAGTGAAGAGACCAGAAGGAAGGTTATGATGCAACCGCAGCCCCCCACACCAGCCTTTCTAGCGGTCACACCCAAATCAGGGGGTGATTCAGAGAAGGACAGGAGGAAGGAAGACAAGAAGGATGTGGTGTGTGAACATTGTAAGAAGCCCAAAACATACAAAAGAAACATATTGGAAACTGCACCCTCACTTGGTTCCTGCGAAGTTGACAAGCAAGAAGGGCACTGCTCATGTAGCAGTGAACACTGATTCAACATCCTCATCTGGCACAAAAGGAACATCTTTAGAGACCTTAGCTGCAGTTCGAGCTGCCCTAATGCAGTTAGAAAAGGAAGTTGGGAATTCAGTTCAGCCACTGYAGTCTTCATCAGCCTTTGCCACATCTACCTTCGCACATTCAGGTACTCGAGCTTCAGCCTATCATGCCTCAGCTCCAGGTATTACTGAACCTTGTTGGGTAATAGACAAAGGTGCATCTGATCACATGACTAGCTTGCCTTCACTGTTTACTACTTACCACTTGTCTTCTGGTAGGGATAAAGTATCTATTGCAGATGGCTCCCTTGTTCCAATTTCTGGAAAGGGTGACATCAAGTTATCAGATACTATTTCCCTGTCATCTGTCTTGCATATTCCTAAGCCTGATACTAACCTTCTTTCAGTCAGTAGTATTACCAAGCATATGAACTGCTCAGTAACCTTCTTTCCTGATCGATGCGTTTTTCAGGACCTAGAGACGAAGAAGGTGATTGGGACTAACCGTGAGACGAATGGGATCTATCTGCTAGGGGAGAGGTTCCGTCAGGGAGAGTCAGTTGAGAAGATGTCTTTTGTTTCTCAGAGTGTGAGTCCGGTTATGCTTTGGCATAACCGATTAGGTCATTTGTCTTTTCGVTCTTTACARAGTCTGTTTCTTGCTTTATTTGAGTCTATTGAGTTGTCTCAATTACAGTGTGAAAGTTGTGAATTTGCTAAGCATTGTAGAAAGCCTTATTTATTGAGTAATAAAAGGAGTGATAATTCTTTTGATATTGTGCATACTGACGTTTGGGGGCCTTATCATATCCCTTCCATGGGTGGGTACAAATATTTCTTGTTATTTGTTGATGACCACACCCGTTTTTCTAGGGTTTATCTCATGCGTTCACGAGATGAAGTACCTTCCCTGACCCAAAATTTTCACCAAATGATCCTAACCCAGTTTGATGCCAAGATCAAAGTTCTCAGATCTGATAACGCAAAGGAATACTTTGCTAAATCATTGACATCTTATCTTCTTCATCATGGGGTTATCCACCAGAGCTCTTGCCCTCATACACCTCAGCAGAATGGAGTTGCCGAGAGGAAGAATAGGCACATTTTGGAAGTAGCTAGAAGTCTCATGTTTACTTCCAATGTTCCTATCCGCTTCTGGGGAGATGCTATCCTCACGGCGGTATACCATATTAATCGGGTTCCTTCCAAGGTCCTTGATATGAGATCTCCTTTTTCCCTCCTACACCCACGTGAGCACTTGTTTTCTATTCCCCTTAAGACATTCGGTTGTACCTGTTTTGTTCAGCTTCTCGGACCCCATCACTCC